TATATATATATATTGCATTTTATGCTTTAAAATTGCATTTCTCTCTAGCCCCTTCCAGAGTTGTCTTGTATGCCTGGACTGATCTTACCTGGAAAGACCATTTCTGACTGCCTGATGGTGCTYCAGTTCCTGCACAACTTTAGAAACATTTTGAGAGTGGACATAAATTCAGACATGCTCACCATTAGCAACTTTCAAGAGGGCTTGCTTAACATCGGGAACAGTATGCACATGGTGCAGGACATGTTGGTGAGCTTGCTGTCTACAGCTGTGCATTACCTTGGTTTACCTACAGGGGACAAGGTGAGTGCTCGTCATATCTGTAGCTTTTGTACAGCTGTGGATTTGTAAACACCTCCTGTCTGTTAAGCAAATACATACTGCAAATTTATGTACAACCACCTGTCACAAGAAAATGTGTTGATGTAGATGTTCTCGTCTTTTTTGCATGTTTGAAGCCAGAAATAACGTGCTTAGTTATAGAAGAATTTTTAAAATGACTATAAATGATGTTACACTGTACACTTCTTTTTTTGCCCTGACACTGATGTCTTAAAATCGTGTTTAAAACAAAATTTTCTTCAACAAAATAACAAAACATTTTAGACGCTATTCAAAGGATTCATCTTATTGTGCTGTAGAATGCAATTATATATTTAATAGAGATGTCTTTTTTAAGAGGCTGTTATTGGAACTATAAATGGGCCCCATGTTAATTTTTCTTATTATAATCTGCACATAATAGCTGTGATTCTTCCTGCAGGGTTTTGAAGCACTTTGCTTTAAGAAGAAATGATTGTTTAAAAGCACATGCATTTATCATGCATAAAAAAATCTTATTTGTCTTTATTTACAGCCGTTGAATAGCAGCAATTGTTTAAGCTTTACATCCATCCATCCATTATCTACAGCTTGTCACAGAGTTGGGTTGTGGGGCAGCAGCTTGATCAGGGAGGCCCAGACTCCTCCTTCCACAGCCACCTCTTCCAGCTCTTCTGGGAGGGTTCCAAGGCATCCTCAGGCAACACGAGAGGTGTAGTCTCTCCACCGTTTCCAACAAGGCTTGATAAGACTCCTCCTTCAGTTTGACAGCCTCCCTGAGTTTGAGGACGGCCACAGCAACAAGCACCTACAAACTTGCGGCCACAGTTCAAGGCAGCTGTCTAGACGAGTGGTTCTCAATCGTGGTCTTCAAGGACCCCTATCCTGCATGTTTTAGTTGTTGCCCTGCTTTGGCACACCTGATTTAAATGAATGAGTGATTGTCAGGCTTCTGCAGAACTTCTAAATTCAGTCACATTACTCTGATCTTATCTGAACTTCATTGGTCACCTGTTCATTTTAGGATTCGGTTGAAAATATTGATCCTTACTTTCAGAGCTCTAAAAGGTCAGGCACCTGCCTGTATTCYGGACATGCTCTCTTGTCCTGTTTGTTGCCTGCGTTCTCGAGATCAGAATCTCTTAGTTGTTCCTCGTACTCGTTTTAAGACACGTGGTGACCGCCCGAGCTTTTTCTTTTATGGCTGCAAGCCTTTGGAATGCTCTCCCCTCTCCTCTGCGTTCTCTCACAGATTTTGAGTCAAGAAATGTCTGAAAACTCTCTTCTTTAAACAAGCGTTCAACTAAATTAGGCCTTGTTGGTTTTAAAGTGAGCCCGTAGTACCAGTGTGTTATTTTAGTATTTTTATATTTTAACTTTGTTTGCTTGTGTGTTCAGTGCTGTTACTGACCACTTTTGGGCTAGAAATTTCTGTCTTGTTTTACAGATGTTTTGTTGTGATTTTCTGAAATTGTTTTATGCTGTTGATGATTGTACAGCACCTTCTGAATTGTTTCTATGAAAGGCGCTTTATAAATAAAATTTTACTTACTTAACTTAAAATATTTACTTAAGAGCAGGAAAACAACTAAAACATGCAGGATAGGGGTCCTTGAGGACCAGGATTGAGAACCACTGGTCGAGACAATTGAGGCGCAGAAAATAGCCCATTTGGACTCAATGTCTCCTGCCTTAGCTGGGATGTGGTTCTCCCGGAGGTGTGAGTTAAGGATCTTTCCGACGGGTTCTTCTGCCAGCTGTTCCCAGTAAAACTTCACTGCCCATTTAAGTCTAACGGGTCTGGCCGGCATCTCCCCACCATCTGATCCAGCTCACTACCAGATGGTGATCAGTTGACCGCTCAGCTTCACTCTCCACCCGAGTGTTCAAAACGTTCGGCCGCAGATCAGACGACATGACTACAAAGTCAATCATCGATCTACGACCCAGAGTGTCCTGGTGCCATGTTCACTAATGGACACCTTTATGTTCAAATGTGATGTTTGTGATGGACAAAGTCCAACAACAGAACATCATTCGGGTTCAGATCAGAGAGGCAGTTCATCCTAATCACGCCTCTCCTGGTCACACTGTTGTTACCCACGTGAGCACTGAAGTCCCCCAGCACCCCCGCTAAGAACTTCAAGAGGGCCGGATACTCTGAACTGCTGTTCGGTGTGTAGGCACAAAAGAACTGTCAGAGTCTGTCCCCCCACCCAAAGGCACAGGAAGCTACCCTCTTACTGGGGGAAACTCCAACACACAGGCACCAAAAGCGACTCCATGTTTTTGTTCTTTGTCTTGTAGTGCAACACTGTCTTTGGAAAGTATTGGAACAATGTGAAGATAAACCGGGACAACGTGTCTGAAATTCTGCAGTTTTACATGGAGAGCCACCCTGAGGAGACAGAGCTAGCGTCTCTGGCTGTTAGCCTCAAAACAAAAGATTTTCAGGCTCATAGTCCAACACTGAAGGCCGCTGTGCTGGCGTTCCTGGTAAACGAGCTCTGCTGCAGTAAAGCACTGATCCGGTAAGAACTTATCATAGACTCTACTTATTTTTATTTCTCTATTTGACAATTGACACCTGACACTTCAAATAATCTAAGCTAAACAAGTGATAATTCATCAAAATAATTCAAAATCTCTAACTGTAACTCTAACATGATAATTTACTGATAGAGGTAGACGTTGAGGATGACTCCAGTTTAAGATTAATTTCTGTTAAACTGACTTTGCTATGGTCTCTTAGCTGTAATGGACACATGAAATTTTGATTTCATGCCTGCAAAACATTGACGGATTTATCTGATGTTTTTCAGTGAGATTGACTTACAAATCGAATATATGACCAACCTGAGGAAAAATAAATGGACTGTTGAGGGAAAGCTGCGCAAGTGAGTAAATGAACAATCAGGTTTCATTTTCAGGTTGTGTACATAAAGCTAGACATTTTGCATTCAAATAAATCTTCTGAACATCCTCTCGTGTTCCAAGACTAAGAGATGTCCATGCCAGCACCACAGGAAAAAGATACAGTCACGTGGGCAATGAGATCAACTCCATGACAAGAAATAAATGCAACAGGAAAGAAGGGGATAGCGAGGAGGAAGAGGAGTACGAGAATGACAGCGAAGACCAGGGGCGTGAGAATGACTATGATGAGGAGGAGGAAGAACCAGGGGGAAAGAAAATGAAGAAAACTGCGCTCTGGGTCAGGAGCATTGTAATATTTTCATAGAAGCCAGAGGTCATATCAGGGTTTCTTATGGTCTATTTAAAACCCAAAGTAATAAAGTTTCTTCTTACAGGATGAAGGTGTGACCTTCAACAGTGTGGAGGAACTGGAGAAGCAGATCGAGGAAACCTATCAGGTAAATTCAGCTCTCTGGGACACTTCTTGTTTCTAACATGAATGGATTAATACTTCATTTTTTTGTCTCCAAAGGTACTTAATCGAATCCGACAGGATCTGTTTGAGTCGTCTCACTCGCTGCGCTCTACAGTAATTGGAGAAGACAGATACAAGAGGCGATACTGGGTCCTTCCACAGTGTGGTGGCATCTTTGTTGAAGGCAGGCAGAACAGTGATAAATTTAAAGAGTTTTTTTATGTTCACTAGGCATGAGCTGACTTCACTTTTATGTTTCTCAGGCCATGACGGGGTTGAAAAGGAGGAGGATAGGAAGATGGCTCTACAGGGTATCGGGGTTGAAGAGGAACAGCAGGAACAAGAGGAAAGGACGCCAGAGGTGTTCATCCCGGAGCAGGAATCAGACTGTGATCAAGTCAAGCCACAGTGCCCACAAAACAAAGACAATATCTTCCCTCAGAAGCTTGACTCCTTATCTAAGCTCAGTGAAATGCTTGAAGTGTCCAAAATGATTCAGGATTTGGACATAAATTCTCAGAACATTCCTTCCATTGAAGTTCCTACCTCAGAGACTTATTCCTCTTATCTTATCTCACAAACGGATAAAATTAATACTTTAAAATCATCTGAACTCGGGGCTACTCAGTTGAAAAACTGTAACGGGACCACCTACAACCCCCAGTCTATCCATCATTATAATGGGCTGTCCAAAATACTGACTGAAAAATGCAGCGAGTGGTTTAGCCTCCTGCCCCGCTCTCCTTGTGACGAGTCCTCTGTGACCTTTAGCGTCACTTCTCCAGCTTCCTCCTCCAAACGCATCTGGATCAAACCCTCGTCATTTGTTTTCCCTAGACCCCCATCATCAGCAAACCACAGCACCGCAGCTGGGGTCTTTGGTCGATTGTCGCCTGTCCCTCATGTATGTGGATGGATAGCCATCATTTTATCTCTTTATCTTTTCAGCCTAATGGTTGTAAGCTTTAATGAAGATGTTGCTACATAACAGCACAAAAAATAGCTATTTGTGTTTGTTTATTTCTTTGATGCAACGGCGCTTTGTGACAATAAATCTTACACAATTAGAAAGCCTATTTATTTCCATTAAATGGTGCCACATATCTTAGAAAAATGCATTTGTGGGTTCTCAAGTTTTCATGAACGCAGCCCACATATTCAACTTGTCGCTCAACCCATTGTCAAGAAGTATTACAACAAAGAAATAATCAAACAAACACAAATTCTTTCTTTTTGCACTAAGTTTAAATGCATGTTATTGTAAAACGACGTCTAAACTTTTAATGTACTTTTCTCTCTCTCTCTCTCTCAGCAAGTAAAGTCTGGCATTCATCAGAGCAGACAAACACCGCTCAGCTCAGCAACAAGTCCCAGCCTGCCCATCTCTGACACTTCCCTGCCCTCGATGCTGGAGGTGTCCCCACAGCAAGCAGAGGCTAACAACAATACGTTAGCCGCAACGCAGGACTCCCCTCAGCCTATCCCTGAAGGTAAGAAAAGCACATTGCACAAATTAAATCTGCTGAAACTAAAATATTTCCCCCAACATGTCAGAATACAGAATGTGATCACTGTCAAACAACTACATTATATGGCTGACCTTTGTTCAACTATGAGTTAAGTGTGAGCATACATGTGGCAGAGATGTTGCGCGGTTGGTGGAGAGTGTCAAGCATGGAGAACCTGCAGAGTCTGCTCGAGAGCCTTCACTGTCGAGGCATCAGAGAGCGAGTTCTGAAGAAACAGATCCAGAAGCACATGGAGCATCTGAGACTCCTCTTTTCCAACAGCAATGACGGTTTGTTCTTTTATTCCTGAATAATTCAACTGTCAAGCAATGAATATTAACACATGTATTGGTTTTAGTTGATAATAGTTGCTGTGATATTTCTATGAATCTGTGTGAGCAGAACTTGATGCGACAGAACCAGAACTGTGTGAGTTTAGGAGAGAGAGAATGAAGAGCTGGTGTGTTGAACAGCAGGCCATGAAGGTGGACGTTAATGTGCTGCAGCAGGTTGAAAGGCTGGAGAAAAAGGTCATCTCTGCCAACCTACAGGTCAAGGTACACAGGCAATCAATGCAGCACCTCATTCTGTCATTTGTTCACATCTTAATTTACTAAATCAAATCATTACATATTATATTTTTACGGCTTTATTTCATCTATAACTTCCTCAGGGTTGGATGCCTCCTGAGCCCCAGTCCAACAGTGAGCATCTAGTTTATTATGAGCACAAGCACATTGCTGCTTCAGTTTTTCAAAATAAGGGTCTAGGAGAAACCATCCAGAGGAAGCCTTTTCTTTCTTTGACACGGCGTTCCAACAATCCTCTTGATATAGCTGTCACCAGATTTGCAGAGCTGGAGAGGAACATCAAGCAAAGGTACTTGGAGAAATGTGAAAGCTCATCCTTTCCTGGTTGGTTTCATTTAGAGGCAGATGCTTTATGACACTGTAAAATGTGCTAGTTTTCTTGTCAACCACCTCCTTGTCCTGCTCTGAAGTAAAACTTACAACAGATCTCTTTTCTGTGTCTTTACAACAGTCATCAGGCGACTTATGGGATCGAACGTTTGCGTATATTCCTCAGTCAGGTCTGCAGCTCGGCTCAGCTGTGGCTCTGCATTCAGTGGCTGCAGAGCACCATCACTTGGAAACGAGCCACTTTGAAAATGGTTAGTGCTCTGAACCCTGTGTTTCTCTTGTTAACACGTTTAACATTTTATATGTTAAGAATAAACATGTCTCACATTAACGATTCATATAAAAAAAAAAACCAATATTTAGGATGCATGTGTTTGTTTCATGAACACTGACTTATAGATTCACTCTGGCTGCCTGCACTGAGTTAAGGGCTCATCCAAAGCCAAACAGTTGATGCGCAGTCATGTGGTTGCTTGATGTTTATTTATAAATGTCTGCTTCCGAGTACAGATGACTTTTGGAAATGAGTAGTTGAAGCAAAATGCAGTGCAGAAGTGCTGTAAGCATAAACACATGCACCTATGAACGTCTGAATAATCACACGGTGAGTTCGTGTGCAGAGGGAGGTGAAAAGTTCTCACTGTGGATTGTGACAAAAAGACTGTAAGCTGCAAACAAAATGATGCAACAATGAGAGCTGATTTCAGCAGTTCAGATGGAGCTTTACAGTACATACATTACTGAATATTACAATGCATTGGCAGTATTTACATTTAATTTTAACTGCAGTGCCTGTAGTGTACGATTCTTATGTACTTTGTTTGCAGCACTGCCAGCTCTGCCAAAAGGGAGACAACACGGAGCTGCTTGTACTTTGTAGTGGCTGTGACAAATTCTGCCACACTTACTGCCACAACCCCAAGCTCACCAAAGTACCTGACTTAGACTGGTTTTGCTCTTTTTGTGTAGCAAAGGTACGTAAACAATCCGACTGAATGACCACTTGGTTTGTATGTAGTTTTCCCCTCTTATCCATACGTGACAGATGGTACATTTTGGGAGCATTAGTTCTGTGTTCTCTCATTCAGGAAGATGCCCAGCTGTTTGGAGGGAAAAGATGTGTGGAGGAAAATCTAAACGGTAACCTGTCTGCGGTGGCGGGGCGCATCAGTGAGGAGGCCGCCAGCAGCAACAATGTGCCAAAAAGAAGTACCAAAGAGTTGAAAAAGAGGAAACCAGATGTCGGCTCAGACACAAAGTGTGAAGGTTCTGTCTCCTGCCCTAAAAAAGCCAAAACATCCAAGGGCAGCAGCAGTGAGCTGTCAGTGTGCCGGTACGTTTGTGCACATAGGTCACTTTTTAAAAACATTTTGTTCGTTGTTGAACTCTCACGTCCCAAGAAATTCTGAACGCTGAGTCTTTGCTCAAAATAAATCCCTTTTAAACATGTCCTAAAAGCCCAGTGATGGTTGTGTGGTTGTTTCAGAGCGCTGCTGGCTGAGCTGGAGGCCCATCAAGACGCGTGGCCCTTCCTGACACCGGTCAACCACAAAGCTGTTCCCGGATATAAAAGAGTCGTCAAGAAGCCGATGGACTTTTCCACCATCAAGGAAAAGCTCAACAACAAAGTGTAAATTTTCCTGTGTTGGGTTTATATTGATTTGACATTTGTGAATTTACACAGCTCGATTCACAACTTAATAAATAATTATTTTCATGATTACAGGTATTCAAATCAGGAGAGTTTCATCAGTGATGTGAACCTTGTGTTCGAGAACTGTGAAAAATTTAACGAGGACAACTCTGAAATCGGTCTCGCCGGCCACAGCATGAGGGCATTCTTTGACAAACGATGGACGGAGCTTCAGAAAAAATAGTGTGGACAATGTACCTTATATGAACAATTTTACATAAGGCTGTGTTTTCACTTTTAATAAAACTGATGTGCAAAGTAACACAGCTCCAGGTTTATCTGAGGCTAGAGAAGGAGGAACATTAGCTTTTTGAAGCAGTGCTGTAGAATCTGTTTTCTTACTTTATATCATCTGTTCTGCATCATAGCTTTGTGTTTCTCATGTGTTATTGTCTTTTCTAATAGATTATTCTTAGAATTTTTTTGTTTAAATATTGTTAAATGAAGTAAGAAGGTAAATAATTATTTACTTGAGGGTTCTAGACTAATAGTAATCTGGATTTTATAATGTATAAAACTCAGCAGGTTCGCTGACAGGTGGAGGTAATTTATTTTTCTTAACGTCCAGTTATTACATGTTGAATTTTTATAAAGACAAAAAGATTAATGATTGTAGCATTTCATGTTTGAACATCTATTTAAAACTTGACAAATCTGTGCCTGACCCCTGGCTTCAAACAGTATTTCTTTTTTAATGCAGTGCGTTACATTTTGTTCTACACAGAAAACATTTACACAAACCTTCCCTCTCATGGTGCTGTTTTTTCTTTTTCTTTTTTTTCTTTTTAATATTGTCAACGTATTTCAGACATTAATCTCAGGGCATTTCTTTGTCAGCCTTTGTGATAGCAGCTGAGATCTGAATGTGACTAAAATTTAATCTCAAGGCTGCCTCAAAGGTGGAAGTAAAAAAATATATARGTACACTATATTGTCAAAAATATTTGCTCACCTGCCTTGATTCACATATGAGCTTAAGTGACCTCCCATTCCTAATCTACAGGGTTCAATATGATGTTGGTCCACCCTTAGTAGCTAGAACAGCTTCAACTCCTCTGGGAAGGCTTTAGGGGTGTGTTTATGAGGATTTTTGATTCCTCCAGAAGCACATTTGTGAGGTCACATACTGATGTTAGACAGAAGGCCTGGCTCTCACTCGCTGCTCTAATTCATCCCAAAGGTCGGATTGAGGTCAGGTCTCTGTGCAGACCAGTCATGTCTTTATGGACCTTGCTTTGTGCACTGGTGCACAGTCAGGTTGAGCAAATACTTAATGCAGTATAGTAAAATATACAGTGATGTTTTTAAGTAATATTTTAAATTAATGAATATCGGGATGAAAATAATAAAACCGCTTTTCGGAGTTAAACAATTTTTTTTTTCTTAATTTGGAATTAAAATACATTTAAGTAGCTATAAAGTGTTTTTTACATAAATGTAAAAACCCAGTGTCATGTGGTTAAATAAGGGCTCTGCCAGCTGTGGCTCTATAGTTTGAAGTAAAATAAATAACTGAATATCAATATTCCGGATCCTAGTMTCTGCAGATATGTGGATGAAATCTCTTGACAGAATGAGGTCAACAATACAAGGAGCAAAACTAATTTTTAAGCTGCTAATTTATCAGCCACCTTATTACTCTACCCTCTAGCTGTAGATTTCTTTTAAACCTATTAAATATTTTAAACCTGGCTGTTCAGGCAAAATGCTTGGGGTAAAATAATATGCAGTGTTGCACACATCAAACTGAAATAGGCATTTTACAAAAATGTGGTAAATCGTTTTAATCAAACTGATGAAAAATCTCTAGGATTAAAAACAATACAAGTTGAAGTAAATATTTCTGCTTTTATTTAAGGAAATTCAGATTATCAAACACATACAGTGGGTAAAATAAGTATTGAACACGTCACCATTTTTCTCAGTAAATATATCACTAGAGGGGGTAATGACATGAAATTTTCACCAGATGTCGGTAACAACCCAAGTGATCCATACATACAAAGAAAWCAAACCATAAATGTCCAGAAATGAAGTTATTTGTAATAATGTGGAATGGCACAGGGAAAAAGTATTGAACACATGAAGAAAGGGAG